AGATTGTACCGGTGCTCGTTGAAGCTAACCTCTCCCTCTGTTTCTTGACTTCCTTTAGAAGTAATGTTCAGATGGTAGTAATTAGTGTTAATTCGATTCTGACACGTGGCTTCTTTGTCCTCCTCCAATCCTCTCTCACATTCTCCAATCTTCCCATGATGATCAATATTATTATTCTGATGAGGAGCACGTAAAAAGTTAGTATATTAATTGTCTTACAAAAATAAAAATAAAGTGATCACATGTTTATGACAAAGTGATATTTTTCCCTTATTGTTCCCAACATAACATGAAAATGTAAAAAAACATTTATGTGCAACTAATAACATCAAAAATAAATGAAGAAAACACCTGTGGATGTGTAGATGAGGAAGATAAACATGTCGTTGTGTGAATAACTCGGTGATCGCCTCTCCTTTTCGAGACTAATAATGAATATATATGGTACGGATTATTTCTCTACTACTCAATAAACAATATCATTTATAAGAATAGATATTATTGGATACTCAAAGCTGGTTTATAAATTATATACCTGATGAATTCTTGTTTCCCAAATCTACAACGTTGTCCTTATTACGTAGTGGTTCTTCATGAACGTTGTTTAAACCAAATCTTTCTTGTTGATTATGACGACGTCGTTTGAGTCTTTCCCTTGACTTGTGGTTTTGGAACCAATAAAAAACGTTCTTTCCTTCAATTCTCCCATACTTTTGGAGCTTAGTTGCAATCTCTTGGATCTGTTGAGTGGTCGGTGTCCGCATTCCGCTGCTGTAAACCTCTTGAAGCACCATCATCTGCTCAGGCGTAGGATTCCACCGCGACTGTCCGGTTATGATCTGCTCATCATTACCGCTGATCTCGTTAATGTCGCCTGAAACGCATTGATCCAAAGCAAATCATATATATTATATCATTTACATACTTAATATTGTTGATTAGAGAAACATTATCTAGTGAACACTATTAATAAGGATTTATGAGTTAGGGTTTTGATACAATGAGCACGAGCGTGAGAAGTTGTGTAGTTGTTGCTATAGAGAAGAAGAGGAAGAGGTGTGATATTTAGGTCTTTGTTGTAGCCCATGCTCTAAATAGAGATATTCTATCCTTTGAGGTTTTGAAGTTTTGGGATTATGGCTTTGAAATGTGTTTATTTTGTGTTTTCAGTGGTGTGGAAATGATGAAATGTTATTCTATCTTTTGTTGGTCTTTTGGCCACTTTATATAGACTACAAACTTTGTTGCGCTTCTTCTTTTGTTTTCAAATTAATGTCCGATGATTTTATCTCTATATATAATTGATTCATATACGGCAGAATATGAATAGCCAATTTTTTTGG